GTAAAATCGATCTTAGAAAGCACTTTCAGCTCATCTATAGGTAGTACACTTATCTTTTAGGACATTTTACCCACAAAATCTACTAGCCTGCCTGACTAGGCACTACCGTTGATCGCCTATCAGCCAATAAATCAGTCCGTGTACAAAACAGACATGATAGGCTTAATCTATCATATAACAAGTTGAGATGACAGTAGACCTAAGGTGTGGGTCCCAAGTATCGCAGTCAAGCTACCTAAATGAAATGTATTCAGAAGCTCTTTGAAAACTATTTCATGATCACATTTTCTCAGGGTCTGTCAGACAATTAGTGTTATGACGACATACTACGATCCTATTTGTAATTTGGAAAATCCAGGGAGATAGATAGTCAGCAAAAGCACTGAAGGCATCAATCCAGTTAGGTGGCCTGGAGTAATCGATTGATGAAAAGTAACGCAATTTGTGTCACTCAGTTAAACAATACCAAATAGCTTTTTTAAGCTGGCCTGTATAAAACGGTTTACGGAGAAAAAAACAAGGTTTGTTCTTATTAGACAAATCAAGTTACGGATCGTTTCATGAAACATGCCGGTATTGGCTTCGAAAATTACCGAAATGGCGGGAACGAACGGTAAATTTTTGTTTCTGGTATTTCACACCCTATCAAATATGAAAAGATCCTCATAACTAAAATTGTTTCCGGTGTTGGTGATGTTTTGATTGGGTTAGATTCCTGTCTTATTTTGAAATCGGATGAGTAGAATTTTTACCAGGTTAGTGGATCCATGACTTGGAATATGTCAATGGCATGAGTTTGCTTTCAGGAACCATACAAATGCTGTTAATTTTGCTGGACTATGAAACTTTCCGGCAAATTTGATACGGGACGCGCTTTACAACTTTGAACTGGAAGTTAGGCAACTGAGAGAAACACCCTTTGATGCTTACAACTACCATTGTTAGAAATCCACAAGACGGGTATCAGTAAATTGATATACAGATAAAATTTCTCATTTTTAACAAGTCTTCGGAGCTCCCACAAGCACACAGGATAATTATTGCAACGGACTGACAGGAGACATGCATGTTCACTCGCGAATTCCGTGTGAATTCAGTGACCACTTCTTGATGCGTGCAAGCTACTCACAAGTATGAGTAGTACCTCACAACATTACAAGCAATCAGTGATTGCATATTCCCAATGCGTATTTTATTCCAGAGGCTTCAACAAAAACGGGTGTACTGTATGGAGAGAAAACATCCATAAGAATAGGCGTCCTTAATCCAGGTTATTGACCAATTAAAAGTGTCTCTTGCAAAAAAGCAGCTTATCAGTCTTAGATTTTTTGAGTCACAGAACGTATGGGTTTTACTGCTTTCTTTGAAAAGCTGTTCGGATTCCCAGTTATCGCGTAGGTAAATTGTTGTCACTGTGCTTCCTTAGCATCCACCAGGCAGGAAAGTCAAAACGATCGTGGAGACAAGAGTTCGAAGCGTTACAAAGGAGTTTTCGCTTGTGTATTCCCACCCGCACTTTTAAGTTGGAATGAAAGACATTCCAAATAACCCGGAATGAGGATCCTGAAGGGCATGGTTTGTAACTACACTTACAGAAGAAGCCAGTTCTTGTGTTGATTTACTGTCCGTTCACAAAAGCGTTTTGTCGCCAAACTCGAATTCACCTAAATAATCTGTTTAAAACGACTCTATTCTTGTTAAATGCGTTGTTTTATATGTTTGCATTTAGTGAATTTAGTGAAAGAGAATAGATATCTGTATACATTTGTATGGTAGAAACGATTTCATCATGGAAAACCGGAAATCGGGTTCACCACGATCACAGTTGTTTAAATGGTTGTTTGGCAGATTGAAGTTTTATGTTGATATTATGAAAAGTTCAGTAGCCTCGATGAGATTCAAACCCACGCATGGATGCCGCCTACGCTTTTCGATAGGTACTTCGAATGGGAAAAGATCAGTGCTATCGGTGTGGACTCGTAGCTCCGCTGATAGAGCGTGCTCTTTACAGAAGAGTGGGCGGCGTCCATATGTAAGTTTGAATCCCACTGAGGCTACTGAACTTTTCACAATTCAATCATATTTGTTTGTCCACTCATCCGATCATCGAGATTACTCGTTTGTGAAAGGGAGGGGGTAGGATGGGCTAGGGAAACTTTAACTCTTGCACAAATTGTTTCTGGGTACAGTGAAGGGGGTTGTGCAGACGAATGTCCACCGCTTTGCAGTAGCCAGCATCCGACAGCAAACCTGCCTCAATAATCACCCGAGAACTTTATACAGGAGTCCGAAAGCCTCGGAGACGTTCACAGGGTGGATTTATTTCAGCTAGCTGTAAAACCACTGCACTAGTGAGCGACTGAATCGTTTCGGTGTTCAGCCACGCTGGGTGGTGTTCATAAATCCGTTCGGACAATCACCTGACCGTGCGGCCTATGTACGTTGTACCACATGAACAGGCAAACGAATATACACTGAATGAGACCACATAGTCTGGAACTGTTCTGTANTTCTGTAGTCGCAAAGACACAATTGACTTGGACGTGAACAACACACGAAGCTTGGATGCATAGAAACTCTTGTCGAATAATCCTCTTTGTGTTATCTCAGCTGACGTGTCCTCTTTGAACAGCAAAGAAATGTACACTGATTTTGTACAGAGTTTTCCGTGCACTGAATCATATTGTTGACTAAACGCTCCGGGTACCCGTTACATGCAACGATAGATTTTACAGTAAGGAGCTCTTCCTCTAGCGTGTCCTCACTGCAGATCTTTCTTACCCTATTCGCGATACGAACCAGGTTCCTTTTTACTTTAAGTAACAGAAAGCTTCGGAAACGAATAGACTGATCTTTCCAAGTTGATTTTCTATGCACGGAACCCGGCTGGCTACAGCAGAAGCGGTGGACATTCGTCTGCACAACTCCCTTCACTGTACCCAAAAACAATTTGTGCAAGAGTTAAAGCTTCCCTGGCCCCCTGCCCCCCCCCTACACACACCGTATCACGAGTAGTCTCGATGATCGGATGAGTGGACAAACAAATATGTGATTATGGTGAACCCGATTTCCGGTATCGTGAAGAAATCGTTTTTCGTAATCTGTGACTTTATTTTCCCAAGACAATGTTGTTCTCAAGTAGTTATATGTGTTGAGATGTATCGGCATGAATAAAAATCCTTGAAAACGTGCTTGTTCGTTATTTTGCTTGAAATGTGCTCTGTGGGACTATTTTTATGTTTTCATTCTTTCTCATCTAGGTCCGCCTTAAACGTGTCCGGAGACATACCAGATACCGAGATCCAAATCTACAACCCAAATCTGTATCTCGTTCACATCGTACTTGTTCCGTGCACAGCATGTTTGTCGACTTCTCTCAGATCGGATGGGATCAATGGATCATATCCCCGGCACGGTATGATGCTCGAATGTGTTTGGGTCAGTGCCCGTTCCCCTTGGGACAGGCATTTCATCCAAGCAACCACGCCGTGGTCCAGATGCTCATGCATCACTTGAGCCCAAAATCGAACAGCCCCACTGCGACTCGAATACATCGACCGTGTTGCGTACCTCAAAAGCTAGCCGCCCTACACGTGCTCTATCACGACCGAAATGGACTCGTGGTGCTCAAAGTCTATGATGACATGATTGTGGAATCATGCGGGTGCCGATGAATTCACTCGGTCATTAGACCTTAGGCATCCCCGGTCATCAATATACAAGTGCAATCGACATATTTTCGCCTTATTGTTCAAATCTTTATTTGCGGTCATTTCCATCTCAGATTCTTCTCATGTGTTGTGATGCACACTGATCGATATCATATCCGAACTGCATCTATCTGGTTCTCCATCCGCTCACTTCAATTCCAACAGCGGCAGCACTTTATTTATATCCGATCTCTCTCTCTCCCGAATGTCTAGAAACCATTCTGTTTCATTTGCCTTATCGTACATGTCAGCCTCCGTGCCCACCCATTCACTCATCCACTTTCTTCATCCGAATTTCGCTGTTTTGTTGTACGCGAACACACACGCAAGCATCCAGTGAATGAGAGATGCCATGACAAGATTATGTACATAGAAAACAATAATCATACTACTGACAACCGAGGTGGACTTTTTCATAACATTACGAATCGCATTGCGGAGCAATGTCAGATTGTCAGATAAAGGTAATCGAACATTGGGGACGAGATCATTTAATAGAAGGCTGGATAGACTCGGCTGTCACAGATACATGGATGCAGTTTCGGAAACTTTGTTGTTGGAAGCCCAGGATGCCATGTTTCCACTATTTACTCATTCAGTTTTATTCTATGTTAGAACAGAGAATCACGTCAGAAAAAAACAGATTCATACACCTTAACGACAACCTTTTCTACGCAATTCACAGAATACATTCGAAATAGCGGAAAGCAATTGGTGACGTTCACGTCAAACGAACTGGTTGTATATTAAGCAGCTCTAAGTTTTCAGTTTCACTAAAATGCGCATCATTTGGAAATGAATGGGTTTTTTGACTGAGTGTCGTGGGAAGAATTTTAAATTGATAGCGGGCATGGAACATGAACCACAACTATCCGGTTAAATTAACGTATTTGAAGGAGGAAGCCAAAAAATATAGGTCTGCACAATGTATCGTGGATCATTTTGCTGCATCTGTACACGTGTATACTGCAGTCTATGTAATCATTAATATATGGTCATTAAATAACAGAATCGTAGGCGAAAGAAGGTTACGGTCAAAATTACTCACCAAACACATTTGTTACCAAGGTAGCGCCAGAGTGATAAGCCATTCACGCTGTTTACACAGTTTGGGATGGAAATTTTTAATGGTTAGCGCCTCGGCGTAATTTAGAACCCTGATGTTGTCTGTGTTTTAGAGGCTTCTGAACGCGTCTCGCAGCATGAAACAGTGTTTCATTTCGACCAGAAGTTGTGTCATCGACGAAATGAGTTTCCTACGGGTCATTGGTGACCTCATACTTCCGAAGTTCCCACTTATTGTTCTCTGAATCCAGACGGAGATGGGCTTAGTTACTCGGTAACGCAGTTGTCTCTCGGTTCTACTGATTATATATATATATATATTGACCATATATTAATGATTACATAAACTGCAGTATGCACGTGTACAGATGCAGCGAAATGATCCAGGATACATTGTACAGACCTGTGTTTTTTGGCTTCTTTAACTTAACCTAACCTGCAAAACAGTAGTCGAAAAACGTCATCCGAAGGTATACCGCTGGCTCCGTAAAACGGAAATGACTGAGTGAATGAAATGAGTATGAGTTGAAACTAGAAAGTGAACTGTGAGCGACACGCATCTGTTTGATGCGCATTGGATAGTTCGCTACGGAAGAATTATTGCACTATGTGAAATTCAATCGTATCGTAGTCGAGACTCATTGGACTCGACAGACCTCCATGGGCCACTACTCATGGAAAGACATTTTTTTTGGGGGGGGGGAGAGAGGGGCTGTTCCTCGACGGGCAGACAGACAGAAAATTCGGAGAGCGGATTAGGTAAAATCAACCGTTTAAGTACAGCTCAAATCAGTCAGTTTGTAATATCAATCATAACACCCCAAGAGTCACTTACACACGGTTTTCATGTAGAAACACACGCACACGTGTGTTACATTGTTTGCACTGAACTCACTGCATCTGTTTGTCCCTCTCAGCGTGGACCAGTCGTTTGTGCATCGAATACATCAGGTTTGAGATGGAAATTTCACGAATGCGGGTATCTATTTTTTTATTCAACTAAGACATCCCGAGTGAAACTGAAAAGCATCACAATCCTCGCCTCCTTTTTGAGAATGGTAAACAGAATCCGCTTTTCTGATGAGACGGAGCATGAGTGATAGGTGGCAATTGTACAAATTTAATCGTAAATGTATCCACGGTGACAGAGGTTAAGAAGCACTTAATAAATGGCAATGTGTTTCACCGCGATCAGTAAACAAACCTACAGTTTGATCCAGAATGAAGCAACCGACTAAAATTCATTGAACAATGCTTTGATGGACGCAGTTGTGTAAACTATTTTGCATTTTTGAAGAGTACGCATTATTGATTAGGCCTCGTTTGATATGAATGGACTGAGAAAGTTTTAAGTTGTGCAAGGTCAGCGATCAACCAATCGCACGCACGCATTCGGGAAGCAATTGGCTTCAATTTAGTTCTCGTTACAGCTCATCCACACGAACTATCTATCCACCATGCAGTCCGGGATTAAGAAGGCGTGTGTGTGTTATCATCGTTCAAACCAGCATACACTCAGGCTAGTAGGCTTAGTTGGACCTGCAACGAAACCCAGTCCAATGGGATGCGACGACCAGCAGCTTGTATACAGTGCCTTTCTTGAAAATTGTCCGACCGAGAATTGATTGCCGATTTTTGCGAGATATATATGAATGAACTTGAAATGATGCTTATGATCAGTCAGGGCTCGCCGGTACAGTGGTGGTGCGCGTGGTCCGAAGTTCTAAATCGAAAAAGGATCAGTGGCAACATCCTCCGGGCTAGCTCCACTGGGAATGGACCTGCTGTGTTTCTCTAGTATATGTGAATCGTGTGTGTGTGTGTGTGTGTGTGTGAAGTTGAAGTCCGCGCCACAATGAAAAATATTTGTGGACATATTTTGAAAGGAATAAGATGTAGGTCGACCGAAGGGATTTAAAATGATTCAGTGTACGGACATCGAATAACTACTGTTAAGTAACTATCATACAATCCTTGATAAATTGAAAAGATACTTTGTGTATAGGCAGAGATGATCAAGTGAATGAGGTCATCAATTTACTGCCCCGGAGAACGTATGTTCGAATCTCACCTTCACCGCTTGACTTCTGCATTTGGGTGGTGGTGGTGCAGTGGTTTGTTCGCTCCCATGTTTTGTACCCTGTGGTTCGAGGTTCGAGCCTCGATACCTCCACCTAACTTTCGTGGTAGGTTTAGGTTACTGATTTTGATGATTAAATAGCAGGTCCCTGTTTCGTCTGCTGCTCATCACACTAAGGTGTGCGGTAATAAAAAAATAAAAACATCGACTGTAACAAATGACCAACGCTCAAAATGAACTGATGAAGTTTGATGTGGGTTCCAAATTTCTATGAATATTCTGAGACAGGTGAACTACACTATGATCTTGAATAACTCGACGATCATTGAACATATATCTATATATACCCATAGAAAAATCCCAGTTTTGATGCATCAATCCAGTCAGCCTCTAAAGTTAACGCATGCATTTACGGTAAACAAATAAGTGGCAGTTGAATTCGAACCGACCGCGCTAACCATTTCTTTTAATTTTCCTTTTTCTCATTTGTATTTAGCCCCCCCCTCTCCCATCAGCCTCTGTTTGAGGCGCCAGTTGGTAATATCTGAGCGTATCTACGCAAACCAAAGCGTTCATGTTTTACCATAAATTCTATAGATGACTTGTATATCCATTTTCTGATATAGAAAGAACAGCTTCTTTGGTTTATACTGTCGCTGTTCGCTTTGTCTCACGGCAATGCACGGGACTGATTTGCCTGTATCAAACTTTCCCATCAGTACACTCCGTAGTCGTGCTTCACACACGTACACATAAGTCCGTCTACGACCATTTTGTGGAACTGATCACTAAGGTGGTCACACGGTAAGTCACACTAACCACTAATCAGAGATGAGCTTGGTTGTCTGCCGCGTAGAGTTTGCATAAATCGTCAAGACCCTTTACCCCCCCTCCCCGAATGAAGGGTGTGCATATTACACATTAAAAACCGAGTAATTTGAATTCTTTCTCACAGACGGAACTGAAAAAAACTGCCCCTGTGAACATCACTTGGTATTCTGTTTAATCCACTCAATATGTATAAAATCAATCCTTGCTTTATACCCCATCAATTTATATACGCATATAACCGTTATCTGTAATAACTCGGGTAAATACGAAATTCCACATTGTGGTGAGAGGGTACAACACTACGCCCTGCTGAATGTGCACGACACGAAAAGTGCACATGGGGAATGGAAAACAATCATCGGGGTGCGTGCCAGCACGCGTGCAGTTTTTGTCGGTGCACGCAAACTGTTGCCCGTTTGTGGCGATCCGTTTTGCCCGGAAAAGCGATGAGACGGCGGAAACCACTTCAAATCGCACAAAACACGTTACGTCTAAAAATAAAAACGGAATCGGTTGTTGTTGTTGTTGTTGTTCTTTGTTTTGTTTCTTCTCCTACTGATCTATGCTACTTTTATCTGACTACAAACGACGGGATTCCGTTTTTCAATCATCTTTCACTCTTCACTCTTCTCTAGAGGAGGAAAAGGAGGATGGGGGAGCCCAAACTGATGGTGGTCGACGCGTTCGTTTACAGTCGAATCTAACCCTAAACCACACCACACCAGACCAACCAGCCATCATCACATTGGTTACCATTACTACATGTGTACGGGCTTAAACTCATTTGTGCTCTAAAACAGCACAGCATGCATCCTGTGCCACATTCTCGTTGCAGTGGGACGCGAAATGTGTAGCCCCATGGGAACCCAATTTAGAACGCGTTCAAGCCAAAAACAGATCTTCGTAAAACAGCGTGAAAACCAATCACGTGTTACTCTGCCTGTATATATGTATGTGCTAGAATTTATCCTTAGTTTTGGAACCAAAA